GAATAGATAATCCAAAGAACTTATATGCATGTATGCATAACCAATGGAAATAAATGCAGGAGGTGGGAATCAGGAGGAAAGTATCTATGGGGGAAAGAGAGGAACATCTGTAACAAAAATAAATTAATAAAAAATAGATATAAACAAATAAAAGGAAATACTCTAAAAAATAAAAAAGAAAGAAAAATAAAATCATCAGTGAGAGAGAAACATTGATCAGCTGCCTCCTGCATGCCCCCTGCTGGGAATGAAGCCTGCAACCTGGGCATGTGACTTGATTGGGAATCAAACAACCACCCTCTTGGTTCATGGGATGGTTCTTGGTTCATGTTGAGCATTTCTTCATATGTCTCTTAGTTATTTGTATGTCTCAACCATTGAGCTACTCTGGCTGGACTTAACAGACTCTATTTTTTTTTTAATTAATTAATTAATTTTTGTTACAGATGTTTCTCCTTTTTCCCCACTGATTTCCCTCTGCCCCTTCCTCCCCGCCCTGTCCCCAGCTTTGTTGTCCATGTCCATTGTTCATGCATACATGCATATAAGTTCTGTGGTTTATCTCTCCCCCACCATGCCCTCTTCTGGGGATTGTCAGTCTGTACCCCACTTCCACGTCTCTGGGACTACCTCATTCCTCAGACTGTTAGGTTCATAATATTCCACAAATAAGTGAGATCATATGTTACTTGTCTTTCTCTGTTTGGCTTGTTTCACTTAGGATAATACATCAGATAAGGGGTTAATTTCCAAAATATATAGAGCACTCATAGAACTCAACAAAAGGAAGACAAAGAATCCAATAAAGAAAATAAATTAAAAATAAATAAATAAATTGTGTCCAGTGCTCGATGCACACTTCCAATGAGCCATATACAGTATTTTTAAATCTTGCATATATTATTTGTTCTTTATATATATTGAAATTGTGTATTGAATTTAAAAATATGAGCTTTATATTGTTCTTTTATGACATTTTATAATAATTATTATCTACCAAGAAATTGTTTTCTTGGAATGTTATATCTTACAGAAAAGCAAAGTTTTTTATCAGTTGTATTAGAATCAAGTCTATAACCATGTCATTTTAGATGTCATCATTTATAGGCAGTTATTTGTTTTATTATTATTTTTTTATTGATTTCAGAGAGAGAGGAGGGAAGAGGGACAGAGAAATTGAAACATCGATGAGAGAACATTGATTGGCCGCCTCCTGCATGCCCCCTACTGGGGATTTGGCCCACAACCTGGGCATGTGCCCTGACAGGGAATCGAACCAGCAACCGAGCCGGCAACCTCTTGCTGCATGGGTCGACACTCAACCACTGAGCCACACAGGCCGGGCAGGCAGTTATTGTTTTAATCTAATGTGCTTGCAAATATGTTACATCTTTGGAAAGGTTTGTGAAAAGGACTCTGACTTACTCTAGATTACAGATTTCTAAGTAGGTCATCTCTTTGAAATAGAAAGTAACTGAATTCTTGGAAAAATCTTTTTGTTTTCCAGATATTAGGAAGCTTGTTTTTATTTCCCTAAAACAATTTGGTAAATTATATTCTGGAGCAATACTGAAACATTTACATTTTTCTCTCTACCTAATCCTTCCAAAGCTTGACAACCCTCAGTGAGTGAGTATTATTTTCATGACAATATATTTATTTTCATAAATGCAATAAGAATATGTTTTCTTTAAAATAGAACACATGATCTCTGGCTGGCTTTGCTCAGCAGTTAGAGCATCGGTCCACAGGTCAAAGAGTCTCAGGTTTTTGTTTTTTTTTCACATTTTTTTTACCCCAGTATAATTTCTTTTTTATTTATTTTTTTGTTACAGATATTTTACCTTTTTTACCCCATTGGCACCCCCCACCCCACCCCACCTCCACCCCGTCCCCGGCTTAGTTGTCCATGTCCATTGGTCATGCATACATGCATATAAGTTCCGTGGTTTATCTCTTCCCACCCCCCCCCACCCCCTCTTCTGAGGGATGTCAGTCTGTGCCCTACTTCCATGTTTCTGGGTCTACTGTATTCCTCAGACTGTTCTGTTCATTATATTTCGTATATAAGTGAGCTCATGTGGTATTTGTCTTTTTCTGCTTGGCTTCTTTCACTTAGGATAATACTTTCCAGGTCCCTCCATGTTGTCTCAAAGGATAAGAGATCTTTCTTTCTTACCGCTCCATAGTACTCCATTGTGTATATGTACCATAGCTTTTTGATCCATTCGTCTACTGATGGCCACTTGGGCTGTTTCCAGATCTTAGCTATTGTAAATAGTGCTGCTATGAACATGGGGGTACATATATTCTTCCTGATTGGTGTTTCAGGCTTCTTAGGGTATATTCCTAGCAGTGGGATCACTGGGTCAAATGGAAGTTCAATTTTTAATTTTTTGAGGTAACACCATATTGTTTTCCATAGCCGCTATGAGTCTCAGGTTTGATTCCAGTCAAGGGCATATACCTCAGTTGCAGTTTGGTCCCTGGCCCTGGTCGGGGTCATGCAGGAGGCAACCAGTCGGTGTGTCTCTCCCACATCAATGTTTCTCTCTTCTTTCACCTTTCTAAAAATTAATAAACTATTCTTTTAAAAATAAAATAAAATAGAACACATGAAACCAAGTTCCGATCATGGTTTTGTTAACAAAGTGACTGGAATGTCATGATCTAGAGAGACATGCCTGAACTCTGGGTGTCACCGAAAAGCCTTGAGGATTGGAATTGACTCTCAAGACTGATCGAAGCTGATCAGAAGCCAGTTGCAGGGAATAGCCTGGTATCTTGGTTGGTCAATGGTTCATGGCAATTTCTCCAGCTAAGGAACCAACATTGCTCTTTTGAAAGATGGCAGAAAGGATTCTCAAGTGTTGGGAACCTCAAGGACTTGAGGACATGACCCAAATCTGCAGGTACGCCAGGCACAGCCTGATGGCCATTGTGATGTCGTCTTCTCCTCCCTGAGGGGCTTACTGCTGACTGCTCCGTAGAGCTCAGTCTACAGATTCCTTATGAACAACTGACATTCCAGCCAAACACATTTGAGAAAGCTTATCAATTGACAATTCTTTAAAAAAATTTTTTTAATTGATATTAGAGAGAGAGGGAGAGGAAGAGAGAGAGAGAGAAACATTGACGGGAGAGAACATGGATTGGCCACCTCCTGCATGCCCCCCACTGGGGATCAGGCCTGCAACCTGGGCATGTGCCCTGACTGGGAGTCGAACCAGTGACCCCTTGGTGCTTGGATCAATGCTCAACCAGTGAGCCACACTGGCCAGAATCAATTAATAATTCTTCTTATCTTTATGCAAATAATCAGGCCAAATTAAAATCAGACCTAATACAGTCTCTTTAATAAAAATGAGGGTGATTTAGGGAGAGTAATTTTATTTCAATAAAAATCACAATGCCCAATTGTGAATATTGAACTGTAACATAGATTGTCTTCGAAGTTTAAAGTTTTGTTTTCATCTGTGAACTAGACTGGTTTCTAAATTCTTCTAGTTGAATTGTTTCTCCCATCCTTTGAGTTGGAATTATTAGAAACTACTGATGCAGTGTCAACCATACAAAACTTACTGAGTATCACATGCTGTCCAGTGGTCACTGCTTGCTCTCATTCCAGCAAAAGAAACTTGAAGCCTTACAGACTCAGAAACTGGATTATAATTTGCTGTAAACATTAACCTTTGTTTTTCTCTTGTTTTTATAAGCATACTTCTTATTAAATACCTGATTAATTGTTTACACAATATTCGTCTCACTTTGGAAGCCCATCCGTGCCCTCCTTTCCTTTCTCCAAAACTATGTATGAACAATTACAGGCAAACAAATGCCCTGACCATGACCTATAAAGCTTAGCCCTACCCTTGTTCCCCAATTCCCCAACATACTAAAACTGCTTAGGGACAGCTCTACACCCACAAACCAGCAGGAAGCAGCAACAGAAGAAAGAGACCTCTGCCTGTATTTCATAAGAATAATTACTAGCAAATAGAGGAGGGAAAAGTTAGAACTTACACCAGCAATATAATTTCTAAGGACCATTTTGCAAGCTTGGAGAACAAAGACCAAACTTCCCTCCACAGGAGAACTGGCTGGACAAGAAAGAGCACCCAATCACACATCTGCATTCTTGTGGACCCAACCCCCTGCCCAAGCCCACCAATCAAGACCACAAAACCCATTGACTGACAAAAACTTCCCACCACTGGATGCACGTATAGATGAAACCCCAGCTCCCAGTGGCTGCCATCATCAACCAACACCCCATGGCTCGGTGATGTGTAGCCCTTCCTTTTGGATATCCCCATCCCCCATCCCTTTTTCTTTAAATAAACTTGAATTTTCTTTATTCACTGACTGTGATTGCTATTTAGCATGTCCATGCACCTCAAACCACTGACTTTCACTTTCAACTTCATCCAGGTTGTGGTCTTGCGCCACCCCCAGCAGTGCACTCTGTTCAGCAAGACAAACACTAACATCGAGACTTCTTAAGAATGAGCCTTTTTAGCACCATTATCCAACCAAAAGGTTGGTCCTCAATGCATCCTTTTTATTAGTTTATGACCAAAAGGGGGATGTGTGGATGTAAAGGGACCACATACTAACCCTGACAAGCTCAGGGGAGGCCTGCAGGGTGGCCTTTCAAACTCAAAGACCTAAAGTAACCACAAAAGATGGTCTGAAATGAAAACTGTTTAACTAAAAGCAGTTTATGGCAGGTAGTCATGTCCTAGGCTAGAATCTTCCTGACAAAAGTCAATCTTTACCTCACTGAGCTTGTCAGTTGTCTTTTGTATCTATGATAACATATCTTTGGAAGATCAGGGAAACCCCCCTTTTCCCAGACCCCTCAGGGCACAACCAATGCACCAGGGTGGAGATAATAAATCCCCTTATTGTTATTATTATCATATTAATTTTTGACTGTTAATTATCCTGTCCCCACCTATGTAAAAATGTATGTGTCTATCACTTGGTTATTATTATTTTTAAATGTGGACCGCTTCAGGAATTTGCATGTCATCCTTGTGCAGGGGCCGTGCTAATCTCTGTATCCTTCCCATGGTAGAATATGTGCCTTGGAAACCAGCACTGCCAGTCACCTTTCACCCAGCCCCAGAGGCCCCTGCTTTCTGCTGCCTCCCTAAACCATCTCCAGTGAATTTCTGTAACCCACCTGCCATCTCTCTCAGTTGTAATACATAAAATAGGGTGGGAAGTGCCATTCTCTGGAATTTATTTCAATCCCTTGAGCTTTTGCTTTCTGGCTGAAATAAACTTACAAAAATTCTTTCAAGGTTTCAGGGTTTCCTCCATTGTCATGTGTGAGCTTATGGTTAAACATGGGCATTGTTACAATCAAAGTATAAGAGGTTGTGCTGTGTGGGGGCAGGAGGTATATGTGAACCCTGAACTTTCCACTCAATTTTGCTCTGATCCTAAAATTGCTCTAAAAAATAAAATCTATTTTTTAAAAATTAAATTATATTATGATGTGTCAATGTAGGCTCAACTCTTGTGCTCAACGCACCACTCTTATGGAGGGTGTTGATAACAAGGGGCTGTGACGAGGCGGGGGCAGGGGCTTCATGGGAACTCTTATACCTTTCCCTCAATTTTGCTCTGACCCTAAAACTGCTCTACAATTAAATTATATAAACTTACATTTTAAAATTAAAAACAAAGTACTGAAAAATTGTTGTAGGACAATGAAAAGCTAGGGAAATTTCAGGACACATGGAATAGAAAACAGGCAGGAAAATAAAGCAAAGCCACAAAACTTTGTAGGCCACTTGTAGCAGCGCCTCATCCTGAGAACAAAGGGTTAAAACCTCTTCTCAGGGTAGAAAGCAGGAGAGAAGGGGAGGACTGGCGAGAGGAAGAGGAGGAATCAGACTACTTAGAACAAATCATCCTGAAGCTGGGAGGAGGGGGAAGAAGAGTAGAAACAGAAAGCCAGCAGCTGGGATTTAATCGCCAGGTTCTGCCCATCAATTCTGGGAAAGCCAAGACAAACAAAAGGGGAGACTTTCAGAGTTGGTCCGTACTAGGGTATCTGGCAGAGGAATTAAAACATGTGTTACAGCCCTGGCCGGTTTGGCTCAGCGGTTAGAGCGTCCGCCTGTGGTCCAGAGAGACCCGGGTTCGGTTCCCGCTAAGGGCACGTACCTCGGTTGCAGTTTGTCCCCGGCCCTGGTTGGTCGTGCGGGTGGCAGCCACTCAATGTGTTCCTTTCACATCGATGTTTCCCTCTCTCTCTCTTCCTCTCTCTCCCTCCCACTCTATCTGTACAAAAAATGGAAAAATGTCCTCGGATGAGGATTTAAAAAAAAAAAAAAACATGTGTTACAGACAGGAGGGTATAAGGCAGAACCGCCGCACCCACCTGCTCTTTGGATTAGCTGGGAGCCCGTCTGCGCTTCATAAGCCAGATGTGTAGGTTTGTTTGCTTTGCTTCGTCAGTAAATGTGCATGCTTTAATTTTTTTATAAATTCACTTTTTAAAATAATTTAGTAAATACACTTCACAGTGCAATCAAGTTCTCTTGTATAAATGCATTTATATGAGAGGACAAGGATCGAGTTTGGGGACAGCCACCCCTCTGACTCAGGAGGCTGTGCAGTACCTCTCTGGCGTCTGTGAGAGGAGCCTGTCACAGATCAGAGCTGACCACTCTGTGACTTGCTTGCTATCTGTTGGTGAGCTGTGTATCTCTTCACAAACCCCTGCTCAGGGATGTCCTGCTGTAGCTGGAAAAGGGCCATGGTGGGAACATTTTTCACAGAAATTAGAAAATGCTGCACTTCAGGGCTTTTTCTCATGGAGAGTTGGTCATTAAAAATTCACCTCTAGCCCTGGCCGGTTTGGCTCAGCGGTTAGAGCGTCGGCCTGTGGTCCAGAGAGACCCGGGTTTGGTTCCCGCTAAGGGCACGTATCTCCGTTGTAGTTTGTCCCCGCCCTGGGTGGGTTGTGTGGGTGGCAACTACTCGATGTGTCCCTTTCACGTCAATGTTTCACTCTCTCTCTCCCTCCCTCCCACTCTATCTGAACAAAATATCAAAAAAAATGTCCCGGGGTGAGGATAAAAAAAAATCACCTCTACACCCCTAACAAGAGAGCACAGTGACCTCTTCACACTCTGTCGCTGGGTGACTACTGGTGGTCCTAGGGACACCCTTGGTGGAGGCTTTCTCAGCAGGGAGCAAGGGCCCCTATCCCAGGTCCAAGCTACATATACCAGACCAGTTGAACTTTGCATGGTGCAACCTACATGCAAAGAGAAATATGTAACATCGTTTGGTGTAATTGATATCACCTAACTTTGGAGCCTCATTCCTAGGGCAGAGGAGATGACAAGGGAGAGATGTGGGGAGGACCCAAGCTTGATGATCAGAGTTCTTTTCTGATGCTGGAGTAACATCAGCAAGATGACAAAGTAGGAGGCTCAGACGCCCCTCCTCCCAAGTCACACCAAGTGAACGGTGCACATGGACCAGCTTCCTGAGAGATGCCCAGAACCAGCTGAGTGGGTCTACACACTGGCTGGCTAAGAGAGTGCCATCGGAGGGAACCCCCAACTCCCAGCTTCACCCTGAGAAGAGTTTGGACCGCACAACCAGTGCCCCAGTGGGCCCCCAAATCTCCTACCTCTGCTAGGCAGTGGGGCTTGTGTTGGAGACCCCAGGACTGCACTAGACACAGTCCATCGTTAGTGGGCTGAAGCACTTGCAGCAGCTGCCCCCAGGCTCAGTCAGAGGCAAAAGCGCCACCACTCTCCCCGCAGCTGCTTGGGGGTCTGGCTTCTAAATAGCCCACATCTAGGTGCTGACTGGGGTCCTTCCCAGAGGCCAAAAGGGCTGGCAGGCACCTCCCCGCCTTTTCCCTCTCGCTGATTATAACCATAAGACCAGATCACCAGCTTCTCCGTTGAAGGTGCTTGTCCACACATCTAGTACCCCAACTTTTGCAGCTGACACCTGAGGGACTGATCCCAAATTACCCAGGTCTGACAGGCTGCGGGCCTTCACGAGTCTCACAGGACAACATTAAACAGAGCAGCAGGTCTAGCCGGTGCATAGCACTCTCTGCATCTCTCCCTCCGGGGCTCAACCCAGGGGGACCAGGCGAAACTCCCAGCTCCGTTTTTCCTGGAAGGGGCTTGACTGCACACTTGCCCAGCTCCAATCAGCCTGCATGTGGGAGCTGACTGGTTTCCCGGGAGCCTGGAAGACCTGGTGACATCCCTTGTCTTCTCCTCCTGGCTCACTCCAGCATCTCCTCAGAAGGGGCTTGTCACCACTAGCACCCCAGCTGTTACAGCTGCCACCCAAGGGACTGGATCCCAAGTCACTGAGTTCTGGGAGCGGGGCTGGGCATTCCCACAAAACCAAGAGGTAGTTCTATTTGGGGCACAAGCACCCTCTCTGGCCCAGCTCCCCTTTGTGTGTGTGTGAGAATTCTTACACATCGTACTTTCTGCTCTTAGCAAAGTTTAGGTACACAAACAGTATTATCAACTACAGTCACCGCACTATACATTAGCTCCTCAGACCATGTTCATCTTATAAATGAAAGTGTGCACCTTGTGACTAAAATCTCCCGTTCCTCTGCCTCCCAGCCTCTGGCAACCACCACTTACTCTCTGGTTCTATACGGTTGACTTTTTTAGATTCCACGTATAACTGAGATCATATGCTATTTGTCTCTTTCTGTATGTGGCTTATTTCACTTAGCATAATGTCCTCCAAGTTTACCATGTTGCAAATGGCAGGTTTTCCTTCTTTAGAGCTGAATAATACTCCAGTGTGTGTGTGTGTAACATTTTCGTTATCCATTCATCAGTAGACACTCAGATTGTTTCCATATATTGGCTACTGTGAAAAATGTTACAATGAACACAAGAGTGCAGTTATCTCCTCAAGATAATGACTTTTTCCCTTTGGATATATTCCCAGAAGTGAGATTGCTGGGTCAAACAGCTGTTCCATTTTAAATATTTTGAGGAACCTCCACACTGTTTTCCATAGTAGCTGCACCAGTCTGCATTCCCACAACACTGCACGAGGGCTCCCTTTTCTTCCCATCCACACCAGCACTTCTTGTTCATTTATTAACGATAGCCTCTCTGACAGGCATGAGGGGATACCTCACTGTGCCTTTAATTTGCACTTCCCTGATGATTAGTGATGTTGAGCACCTTTTTATATGTCTCTTGGCCATCTGTATGTCCTCTTTGGAGAGGTGTCTATTGAGGTCCTCTGCCCATTTCTTAATCTGGTTATTTGTTTTTGTTTGTTTGTTGTTGTTCTTTGCAATTGAATTGTATAGTTTCCTTATATACTTTGGGTATTAACCCCTTATCACATGTCTGGTTTTCAGATACGTTCTCCCATTCAGTCGGCTGCCTCTCACGTCGCGATGGCCCCGCCGTGCGGTAGCTGAAGTTCAGCCTGCTCCCACTTGATTCCCTCTGCGCGTCGTCAGTGCTTCTGGTCACCCCGAAAGACCCTATCACACCAGTGTCCGAGAACATACCTCTTACGTTTTCTCCAGCAGTTTAACAGTTTCAGTTCTTACATTTCAGTTCCTCGTAATTCATTTCAAGTGATTTTTGAGACTGGTGCAAGATCAGACTTTAATTTCGCTCTGTTGCATGTGGACATTCACTCACAGTATCCCGGTGGATTTATTTTGGAGCTCTCTATTTGATTCCATTGGTCTGTGTGTTCATTTTTATGCACTAGCTTTGTCAAAACATTCTAATGGCCCCAATACAACATCTTTGGAAAAAAGCGAAGGAGGTACTGGCCTGCCTCCTCTGGCCATCTGCCCCTTCAGCCTCCTCACAGAGTATAAGCTCTAATTAAAAACAATGTGCCTGCCCTGGCCGATTTTTCTCAGTGGTTAGAGCGTCTGCCTGCGGTCCAGAGAGACCCGGGTTCGGTTCCCGCTAAGGGTACGTACCTCGGTTGCAGTTTGTCCCCGGCCCTGGTTGGGTTGTGTGGGAGGCAGCCACTCGACGTGTCCCTTTCATGTCGATATTTCTTTCTCTTTCTCTTTTTATTTCTCTCCCTCTCTTTCCCTCCCACTCT